TTTTTTAATATATTTATTGAAGAAATTAATAAATATTGTTGATGGTAATACATACAGTTAGACATACAATTAAGCTGTACAAGACTGTTTATGATTTGCGCAACATAGATAAAGTATTAATATACAAAAATGATTTCTTTGATACATCATCTCTATATTGCCAGCTTGATAATCTTATAAATTTTTCTGTTGAAATAGGAACGCGCCGCAATGCATAACAAGATAAACTCTTTTATTCGCTATCAGAAAAGAATTTTTCTTTAATTAAATAATAATTCTTTCTAATTTACGAATTATATGTCAATCCTGCAATATAGAAATCGTTTACTTCGACGGATTCCAATTTTATGTAACGTTTGGCAAAAGCGCGTATGATTTTCCCCACATTAACACACAAAATAATAAACATTATTGACTTTATGTACAGCAGCTTGGACGTATATAACAGAGCAGTACATTTAGCAGTTGTCATATGAAACAGATAACCACGTTTTACAATTCACATTCTTGTCGTTTATCAACCGCTTTCAACATAGGAGAAGAAACGAGGTAATATTCACCGTACGTTTAATTCAGAATCATCTTTACTGCATAAAATAATAAATTTATAGGAGTTAAATTAATTTCAACATACATTTTATAACATCTTTTATGTCATTGCGACATTTATACTTTATAGATCTTTTTCATCTTGAAAACACGTTATTACACACATCTTGAAAACACACATGTTATTAAAGTAACATTTTTTTATAATTCTTTAAAAATTACTTTAAAAATTTGAATAAAAAAGTAGAAATGTATAGAAATTATTTATTTGTCAAGAATAATAGAATTTCTTTAAGCAAAATTTAAAATACATAACTTTGTTCGATCAAATAATATCTATAACTACACTTTTTAGAATGATTGTTCTAGTATCACACAACACTTGATATTTAAAAATGTATACAATATCCAACCCATTTCAACTTTGAATTGCATTAGATTTTTACAGTGATGCAAAATAAAGGTATTTTTCAGAAAACATCAAGTAAAATAAAATTTTATATAGTTTTGAAGAAGAAGAAAATAAGGATGATGGTTGCAAAAGAATTTTTGTATTTGACAATGCATACATCTTTTCGGAATTTAGTAGATGTAACTTTACAAGAATGTAAGTTTAATTTCTTGCCAAAAGAGTTCGGTACATTACATCATCTACAAGAGATTACATTATCCAGTAATTATGTCGTGAATACTACTCGATCTGCATGGGAATGGTTAGAGCAAGATTCTATGAGAAATAATTTAAAATCATTGAGAATAATGCATTATGACGTAAGTTACACTATCTACTTACTCAGATATTATGATATTAACTACTAATTAACAAAATAAAGTTTTTATTTAAAAAATAAAAAAATTACTTTACGTTTCCACCATTTATTGTTATGTTCTGGAATTATTTTGTTATTTACAGCTACCTGAATTACCTTTGCAAATCACATGTTTGAATCGTCTCACAAAATTAAACATGAGAGGGAGCAAAATCAGTTCTTTACCAAAAGAGTTTGGCAATTTGATACTTGTTGAACTGGATCTATCGTATAATAATCTTGGAAACTCTAAAGAATCTGTATGGGAATGGTTAATGCAAACTCCCATTAGATATACTTTAAAAAGACTTAACATAAGTCACAATTATGTAAGTTGCAATATCGAATTACTAAAATATCATGATATTAACTAACAAAAATAAAATTATTTTTTAAAAAATTTTCTTAAAAATGAAACATTTAAATTACAATTACTTTTTATTGACAATGCGTAAAAAGTCAACCATTATATTAATAAGTTAACCTTATTTATACACGCAGAAAATTTTATGTCAAAAATTACTATGTACAGCAGTAACCATGAAGCCGCGGACCAAAAATTTTTGCTATGTTTTACATGTGAATAACATAGTAAAAATTTTTATAATTCCTTCATGGTCCGCCTCTACTACCGTATACAGGGTGATTTAAAATAATCTGATGTCCTTGCAATGCCATATTCTTGAGCGAATTCTGAGACGATTTTTCCTTTTACAAAATTTTGTCCGAAGCTTAGTTTTCGAGTTATAATTGAAAATAGGTAGCAACTTATGAGTTCGATACAACGGGCAGGCAGGGACGCGCAATGTATAATGAGACTGTCAAGTGTTTACTGTCGTCTCATGACGCATTGCACCGTCTCTGCCTGTCCGTTGTATCGGACTCGTAAGTAGCAAATTATTTTCAATTATAACTCGAAAACTAAGCTTCGGACAAAATTTTGTAAAAGGAAAAATCGTCTCAGAATTCGCTCAAGAATATGGCATTACAAGGACATCAGGTTATTTTGAATCACCCTGTATAGTAATTTTTTATATAAAATTTTCTTCGTGTGATCACTACATTACCTTTATAAATAATTTCTATAAAAAACTTACAAATTTTATTTTTATGCAAAAATAAGATCAAGTCCTTAGCAAAAGAGTTTGGTACGCTGTCTCAACTGTTGGAGCTCAATTTATCGAATAATTTGCTCGGAACATGTCGACATTCTACATGGGAATGGTTAAATATGCCCATTAGAAATAATTTAATGCATTTAGAAATATGTGGCAATTTTGTAAGTTGCACTGTTTAGTTACTAGCATTTTATTATTTCAAGTAATTAAATAAATTGTTATTTAAAAATAAGGAGTATAGCTCTAATAGAATTTATTGAGATCGTGCGTTGAGATACTAACAATGTACTATTATACGTAGCTGACTGAATTTCCATTACAAATTACATATTTGAAAGAACTAATGTGGTTAGACATAAGCAACAACAAAATACACTTTTTACCAAAAAAGTTAGGTACTTTGCCTAAGCTTAAATGTTTTTTACTTTCTTTTAATCACCTTGGAAAATCTGATCGCAATAAGTGGGAATGGTTAGAGCAAGCTGCAGTCACAAATGAATTGTTAGGATTAGATCTGTCGTTCAATCTGGTAAGACGCACTATTTATTTATCAAAACATCATTAGAAGAACTGAAATTATTATAAAATAATGAAAAAGCTTAGTTTATATTTATTATCTACTAAGAAATTATAAAATTATTAATTATTTCTAGTTAACGGAATTACCGCCACAAATTGGAAAACTAAATGCTTTAGTTTATTTATCGCTTGCTTCCAATGAGATAAAATGTTTACCACAAAGTCTTTCAAATCTAAAAAGTTTAGAAGGGCTTAATTTGTCGAACAATAATTTGAAATATTTACCAGGAAGTGTGTCACATTTAACGGCGCGTATAAATGTTGATGAGAATCCATTTAATTTGATAGATGACGACATTGATGACGATAATGATGACGATGGTGATGATGATAGTGGTGATGATTTTATTACGAAGTTGGAAGTGCCAAGTCTTGTGGATTGTTCAGCTGAAGTTATTCTGAAAAATGGGTTTGTTGCTATTATTTCGATGTTTTTAATTATATTTAACTTGACTCTTGAAAATTACTGTGTAAATCAAAATTATTTCAATATTTTTAATAATCTTGACGATTATAGATTAGAATATACAAATTATGGTTTACCTGAAGAATTGATCAGATATATGAATAATACAAGACATTGCTTCCTTTGTAATAATGCATGTTATCGTTATTACGAAAAGCGCTTCATAAATTATCCTGATTATTGTGGTATACCGAATTTTAAATTACATGCATCTGAAAATATCAAAAATGCAAGTTTTGAATGTTATGTTTGTTCATCAAATTGTGCTGAAATGCTAAGGAATTAAGAATACATGATTAAATTATTAGACTTAAAATTTACAACAGAATGAAACTTGTATAAAAATATCTGATATGACCGATTTCAAAACTTTTGAATTTTATACATTCTTTGACGAGTATACATATAATTTATCGATATTTGTCGATATTATTATTTTTGCATATATTTTAAAACACAAAATTATTGTATATTTAGTGATAGGATATACTATCACTACCACAAATAGATTCGTTCTTGCAAATTTTTAATCAAACCAAGAATGATTAAAAGTCAAAAATCTTAAAACATTCTGCAAACTGTTTTCATTGAAAATTTTGAAAAATCTTAATAGTTTTAAAGTATTGAATTTGTATACATATGTTTGTGTGTGTGTATATGTATATATATATATATATATATACACACACATACATATGTGTTTGTGTATATATTGTATATATACATGTGTCAGTGTTATGTATATGTGTTAAATTATGTAAAATATGTCTCACATTCATACCGCTCAAGGCATTCTAGACTTAAGGTTATCAAAATTTTTAAGATTTTCAAGATTTTTTTATCATGACAGTCTTACAAAATGTATTGAATTTTTTTAATTTCTTTGACTAAAGTCTTTAACTCAAGATATTTTTGCACGATTTTTATGCTTTATGACTAAGTTTATGTATCTTTTTTTATATAACATGCGTGATTAGTAAAAATAAAATATTAATTCGTTTAATCGACATATTTCTAAAGCTTAATATCAACTGCAATATTTTTCATGCAATTAAAGTACATATGATATGCATCGCTTTGTGACATTAAGAATATATTTCTTAGAAAACTGAATAATAATTTTGTTATTTTAATTTTTACATTTCAACAAAACCAAGTGTGCTAATGGAGAAAATTAATAAATTTTGTTACATATAAATATGTTTACATAACATATATTTGTGTTTACATGTTTTTTATTATGTTTTCTTTTTCTCTCTTTCTCTGTCTCTCTCTCCCCCCCTCCCCCCTCTTTCTTTTTCTCTCTTTGCCTCTGTCTCTCTTTTTTCTTTTTTTGTTGTTTTTTCTTATATTATTAGTAATATATTTTTATAGAAAAAAAAATTTTTTTTGTGATTTTTTATATATTTATTGAAGAAATTAATAAATATTGTCGTTGGTAATACTCGTTGTATTTGAAGAAAATAGTCGAATTAATTAAAAGATGTTTATCGGACATATCATTATTATTATCCAATGGAGTAAAAATGTCTCACAGGTGCAGTTTAGTGTCATTATCACTTTGATAAACTTTTAAATTTAAGTTGCTTTCATACAATCGTATATTTTTGTGTCAATAATATCACGCGGTACAAATAAACATTTAATTGAGATTATACTGTAGCTTTAACGTCGACAACGGAACAGAACTTTTAGAACTTTTAAAACTTATTTTGAATAGATTAATGTGTTTTGTGTTAGTTCTATAGAAGTTTATTAGCAATAACGCTCTACATTTTTTCATAAATACAACAGAAGTAACAGGGTAATTTGTATATTTAAAATAACGCAAAATAAAATTTTTGTTAAATGCACTGGCAATTAAATAAGACATTACTTTTGTACAGTGTACATTAATATTAACAATTTTTAAAATTTTCTGTTATTTTCGCAAAGCTTGATATTTTTTTTATCCTTGAAAGAAGGATATGAAACATACATTGAACAAACAGATTTTATAACTTTTTTTTCAAAATAGAAGCACAATTGTACGAGATAAAGGTATCATAATAACAATATTAGAAATAAAAAATTTAATTAGTTTTTAAGAAAAAAATAAGAAAAGTAACTAAGAAAATCTATTTACGATTGCTACACAATCGTTGCAACTTTTTAAAATTTAATAAATTTAGCATCGGAGAGAAATAACGTCTCTTTTTTGCCAAAGGAGCTAGGTACTTTATCTCACCTTCCGTATTGCGTATTTTTGCACAATTATCGTGGAAAATCCACTCAATCTACATATAAATGGCTGAAGCTATCTTCTATTAGAAATAATTTATTATGTTTAAACATGAATCACAATTTTGTAAGTTAAACAATGCAATATTAAAAAATTATAATATTTACTAAGTATAATAACACTATTACCTGAAAAAATGAAACATTTCGTCAGCGTGATTTTTGTAAATTACCGTTTTCTCAGCAGAAAAGTGCACTGAAATATTATAATTCATAAATTATGTGATATTTGGCAAATTAGCTTTTATTCTATTTATATTCTATACGTGCCAACGTACTTTATTTTTATTAATTATTTGTTAATTTAAATAAATGATACATTTCATCAATTATTGAATATTATTTATGTGAAGAAGTCAAATTATTGTAATATGTTTTTTAACCATGCATTGAATGATCAACGTTATGACACACAATTAAGCTATACAAGACTGTTTATGATTTTTATGATTATGATTATGTTTATTATTTTTATGTTTATGATTTTTCTTTACCAAAAGAGTTTGGCAATTTGATACTTGTTGAGCTGGATCTATCGTGTAATAATCTTGGGAGCTCTAAAGAATCTGCATGGAAATGGTTAATGCAAACTCCCATTAGATATACTTTAGAAAGACTTAACATAAGTCGCAATTATGTAAGTTGCAATATCGAATTACTAAAATATCATGATATTAACTAACAAAAATAAAATTATTTCTTAAAAAATTTTCTTAAAAATGAAACATTTAAATTACAATTACTTTTTATTGACAATGCGTAAAAAGTCAACCATTATATTAATAAGTTAACTTTATTTATACACGCAGAAAATTTTATATCAAAAATTACTATGTACAGCAGTAACCATGAAGCCGCGGACCAAAAATTTTTGCTATGTTTTACATGTGAATAACATAGTAAAAATTTTTATAATTCCTTTATGGTCCGCGGCTACTACCGTACATAGTAATTTTTTATATAAAATTTTCTCTGAGTAGATCACAATACCATTACAAATTACTTGTATGGAAAACTTAATAGCCTTATTCTTATGCGATAATAAGATCAAGTACTTACCAAAAAAGTTAGGTACTTTGCCTAATCTTATGTATCTTAATCTCACTTCTAATTATTTTGGAAAATCTGATTACAATACGTGGGAATGGCTAGAGCAATCTGCAGTCAGGAATAAATGGTGTGAATTACACCTGTCGCACATCTGGTAAGACTTGCACTATTTATTTATCAAAACATCATAAAAGAATCAAAATTATTATAAGAAAATATAATGGCTAGTTTATATTCATTATCTACTAATAAATTATAAAATTATTAATTATTTCTAGTTAACGGAATTACCGCCACAAATTGGAGAACTAAATGCTTTACTTTTTTTATTTCTTAAATGCAATAAATTGAAATGTTTACCACAAAGTCTCGCAAATCTAAAAAGATTAATAAGTCTTGATTTATCCGACAATGATTTGTTATATTTACCAGGAAGTTTGGCACATTTTTCGGCTGATATATGTGTTAATGGGAATCCATTTAATTTAGATGACAATAGTGATGATAATAAGACTACGAATTTGATAGTGCCAAGTCTTATGGATTGTTCAGCTGAAGTTATCCTGAAATCTGGGCTTGTTGCTATTATTTCGACATTTTTAATTATATTTAACTTGACTTTTGAAAAATACTGTGTGTAAGTCAAAATTATTTCAATATTTTTAATAATCTTGACGATTATAAATTAAAGTACAAATTAAATTATAGATTAAATTACAAACAAAAAAGCACAAAGAAATTACCACAAGTATTTGTCAAATATTTGGATAATAAAAGATATTGCTTCTTTTGTGAAACTCCATGTTTTCGTTATTATGGAAAGCGCTTCATACTTTTTCTGAGTATTTTAAAATGCTGGATCTTAAGTTTATGCCGGTTACATCACTACATATTTTCGTAGCAAAGTTTGAATGTTACGCTTGTTCATCAGAATGTGCTAAAAGATTAAGGTTTGATTAGTTTATTCGACTTAAAATTTACGAAATGTAATCTATATAAAAATATCTGATATGACCAATATCAAAACTTTTAAATTTTATATATTTGTTGACGAGTACACACATAATTTATCGATTTTTGTCGATATTACTATTTTTGTATATTTTGTAAAACACAGAATTATATATATATTTAGTGATAGGATTTCACAAATAGATTCTTACTTACAAATTTTTAAGCAAACCAAGAATGACTAAAAATCAAAAATCTTAAAACATTTTGCAGACTGTTTTAATTGAGAATTTTGGCAAATCTTAAAAGCTTTAAAGCCTTGAATTTGTTTATATACATGTATGTTGTATACATACATTTGCCTGTGTATATAAATATGTGTTAAATTATGTAAAATATTTTACACATTCATATCATTCAAGGCATTCAAGACAGTAAGCTTGCAAAATTTTTAAGATTTTCAAGATTTTTCTATCATAATCAGTCTTACAAAATGTATTGAAATTTTTTTATTTCCTTAACTCAAAATATTTTTGCACGATTTTTATACTTTACCACTAAGTTTATGTATTTTTCTTTATGCATGTTAAGTAGATACAAAATATTAATACGTTTAATCGACATATTTTTAAGGCTTAGTATTAAGTGCAATATTTTTTATGAAAATACATATGAAACTACATATGAAAATACATATGCAACGATTTGTGATATTAAGAACATATTTCTTAGAAAACTGAGTAATGGTTTTGTTATTTTAATTTTTGCATTTTAACAAAGTCAGGTGTGCTAATGGAAAAATTTAATAAATTTTTTTTACATATGCAATAGATATGTTTACATATCATTTATTTGTTTTCAAGTTTTTTATTATGTCTCCCTTTCTCTCTCTCTCTCTCTCTCTCTTCTTTTTTGTTGTCTTTTCTTATTGTAATATATTCTTATAGGAAAAAAATAATTTTTTTGTGATTTTTTATACATTTATTGAAGAAATTAATAAATATTGTGGTTGGTAATGCTCGATGTATCTGGAGCAAACAGTCGGATTAATTAAAGGATGCTTAATGGATGTACCATTATTATTATCGAATGGAGTAAAAATGTCTCTCAGGTGCAGCATAGTGTCATAATCACTTTGATAAAATTTTTAAATTAAATTTGCTTTTTATACAATTGTATATTCTTGTGTTAATAATATCACGCGAAACAAATAAACATATAATTGAGATTATACTGTAGCTTTAATGTCGGCAACGGAACAGTACTTTTAAAACTTTTAAAACTTTTTTTAAACAAATCAATGTGTTTTGTGTTAGTTCGATAGAAGTTTATTGGCGCGCAATAAAGCCCTACATTTTTTTTAATACAACAGAAAAACAGGGTAATATGTATATTTAAAATAATAAAAAATAAATAAAATGTGTCTTTAGGCTCGTATATTAACAATAAATTGTGAAAAGAGGATTTCCCGTCGACGTCGAATGTTACACAATATAGTTTCTTTAAATACAATAAATCATTACAGAATATCAAACATTGAACAAACATTTTTTATAACTTTTTTTTCAAATTAGGAGCACAGTGGTACGAGGTAAAGGTATGATTTTAACAATATTAGAAATAAAAAATTTAGTCAGTCTTTTAGAAAAAAAATAAAAATGCTAATTGTAAGAAAGTCTATTTATGATTATTATACAACTGTTGCACCTTTTCAAAATCTAGTAAGGAGAATGGGTAAAATGGGCCAAGTTTGGCCCGCAGAATGGCAAGCAAACACGATATGTTTTTTTGTTTTTGAGCTGCTGAATCTGATACTGATCTTTAAAAATTTTTAATTTAGGATACATACAAAAAAAATGTACATTTTAAAATTCTAACCCATCAAATGTTATAGATTATATCCATTTTATTCATTTTTATGCCTTAGAATCTTATGTCATATTGTTTGGTAGGCCTAAAACTTTACTGCAATGCATTAAAACTTTATATTTTAAATAAAGAAATGGTTTGTAATGTTCAAATCTATACTTTATTAAATTTTAAGCATTGGAATTTTATACTATAAAATTTGGCAGGCCTAGCATTTTAAAATTTTCATATTTTCTTTACTACAATGGATCAAAAAATCTTATATTTTATACAAAGAAATGGTCTAAAGTGTAAACTGGTTGATATTGAAAAGTTGATGATTATAAGGAAATATATAAAGTACTTTCATAAATTTAATAATTAATTTCTTTTATTGCCAATATTAGCGTGTAACACGCGTAATGTTTTATGTTCTAATAATATAAATAATAAAATGTACAAGTACAAATTTATGATAATATTAAGATTTGCAGTGTTCCTTATTAGATGATAATTAAATTTTGTTCTTCCGCAAAACAAGTTATATCATGGAGCAGTATATCCTTTTCTCCAAATTGTGTCTTTTAAATAGGAACCCACTATAGGATTATTGAGCATTTCTTCTACAATATTTTTAAAGCCAAGCTGACTAGCTAGCATGTATTTACATTCAATATCTGATAGTTCAGACACGAGAATTCTCATATTATCTGTCATGGAATGATTAATACTCTTTTCCAATCTATATCTAAAAAGAGGAATAATATTTAATTATTTATATGTAAACCTCATTTTAAATAATGTATAAATTGTGTTAAACTCACCTACGCGCACAATCCTGCACAATCATAGGCGTCAGGCTGTTTACCGTCATGAATTCTTTGAGATATTTTGTTTCCCCTTTAAGAATACAGTGGTGATAAATAAGATTAGCCCAATCTGCATGATAATTGTAAGCGCGAGTAACAATAAGAGCTTGAGGAAAGTTTAAAATACGAGACAATATTTTATCTATCTCATCGCTTTTCAAATTTAGCAGACACACTGCTTGTTGGTTTTGTGGTATCGAGTTGAGTAATGAGATTTGTACGGCGACAAGTTGGGCTTGATGAGAACACCTATTAGCAAGATTTAATTTTTTATCCTAGAAATAAAATAAATTTTTTTGACGGTTCTTATTTGAAATACATATGCTAGTTTTATTTTATTCTTTTTACCTGCAAATAATATTGTGTAGCGTGGGTAAAGTTAGTAATAGCTAATTGCAATTGTCTATGAACATTATCATTCCGAGTAAATTTTATTTCTATTGGAATACCAGTTACGCCTTTTCCGCATTCTCGTATTGCATCAGAGATTAATGTCGTGATTACTTCCTTTGCCTCGTTTTCCCACATGAGTGCGATTTCGTAGTACAAACGAAAATGAAGCGCCACTAATGTAAACAATTCTTTATCTTCTGAACAATGACGCTTCAAAAATTCGAGCAGTGCTATTTTTAGACCTGGTACCTAACAAATTAAAAAAAATACATATTTTTAATATGAAATATGGATTTCCACTTGACTTCTATCACATGTGAATAAAAGTACCTTATCCAAGCCTTGTCCCAATAAAGACTCAAACTGATCGTTTTCCTTCAAGATTTGAAATATATAATTCATTTCAGTAAATCGACCAACACCAGTTATAAGACGTACCTAGGAATACAAATCAGAACTTAAATAAAGTGCTAAATGTTTTGAAGACAATGACAATTGGTACCATATTAATTTACATACCAATAGTGCCCAATGTTTTAACATTTGTAACATGTTTGCGAGGTTCTGACATTTTCGTAATACTGACGCTATTCCTTCCATGTTACAAGAAGCCGTGAAACAATCGTGGGCTCTTATTAATAGTTCCACTATCGTTTTCAATGCTGAAACTGTAACGCAATATACAGAAGTTAATATATATATATATTTAAAAAGATTATTGAAACAAAAAAGTATAGTTGAATTACCATTTCGTTTTTCATCATGAGTACTAATGTATCTTCCCAGCATTGATTGTGCTGTTTTCAATAATTTTAAGCCTAATAACGAAGTGTCACTACAAAGCTCCATTATTAAATGAAAGTGTGTGTTCATGGAGTAGCCCCACATAAAAATTAAATCCTCCTGTCCATCTTGAAGTTAATGATATGATTATTTTCAATATTGAGACAATCAATTTGTTGAAAAATAAGTGATAATTTTCATAATTACCTTCTATGGCACGATTTATGTGCGTTGCAATATTTTCGGTAAGAAATACTGCTACTTCTTCCGTTTTAATTTTGTAAGCCATTATTATATTATTAGCAGTTTCGAACTTGCTTTCAATATTACTTTCTATAACTTCCTGTAAAAATTTGATTGGATTGCTCAACATGAGCAGTGATTGATATGTCTTCCCCAGGCGTGCAGCGAGTTTATAACATAAAACAATTCTCAAGCATATCTCATTTCCGTGTGTAAGAACCTCCAATAATTTTTCTAAGATAGAAATGCACTCCATTTGGAGTTGATAATTGCTAGTGTTCTTTGTATCGTTTGTTTTGCTAGGTTCTACAATCGACGAAATCGTATTTACTGCAAAAATAAAATGTGTAACAGTTCTAATATGTTGGTTATATAGAAAGATCAAAAAGTATTTTTAAATCATTAAAGTATAATAATAATAATAATAAGAAAGATATTATGAGAAGATTATAAAAAAGTAGTGAAACATACAAGATGATGATGAAGATAATCTTTGCAGGCCGCGATTACGCAATATGCCATATTTTTGTTGTTTGTTCTTATGTGTTTCTTCCAAGAGACTCCTTTGCTGCACAGTTAACTCCGCTGGTGAAATTTCACCTTCTGCTAGACTTAAACACAGCATCAATATTTGCAAATCCTACAAAACAATTGTATCTTTAATGTCTTATCTATATATTTAAATTACAAAAATTAAAGGATGATTCTTACTTTATGATTATAATTGAAAATCGTGCTTATTCGTAAAGCAGTATCTAACTTGCCCAGATTAATTAGTCTGTCTATTAAATTTTTTGCAGAGTTTTTCTCATGTTCATCCGTTAAAGAACAGGTAACTTGTAATTTATCTAAACCAGACAGTAACTCCGTTTTTAATTTATTAAAAATATGATCATTATAGTTGAACTGTATATTTTCAGGTTCAGCTAAAATACACGATTTCCACATTGCCATCTCCAAAGTATCAATAGTTTGTTGTTCCACTTCGGTGTTTTTCAAAGTTTTGTAAGCCAATTTTAAGACTTCATACCTAAAAAAATGCTTAGTAATTTGTATCATAATTAACATTGCGTTATATGAGATATTAACCTCTCTTTGTGCGAGATAACTTTTTCGGCATGTTCGACAAGAAATTCTACTGCCAATTGAGGAGGAACATTATATTTCTTGAAATCCTGAGCACATTGCATCCAGAAAGCGGAATTAACTTGGCCATCCCCATTTATAGATTGTTTAAAAGTATTCCGAGACTGAAAATAAAATTGCAAATTTATATTATAAGAAAAATGCACAATATATATATATATATATATATATATATATATATATATATATATATATATATATATATATATATTAATA